ACACTATCTCCGGAGAATGGCTTAAGCTTAATCAAATCCCTGTGTTTTTAAGTTTTAGGGGTACAGAGAAGGGTTATTTGGCTTTAAAAAAATATGAAGTGTGTGAAATTTTTTTCAAAAAGGGACATGAATTTTATATATATATATATATATATATGATTTGTACTTTATATGAAGATTTACAGAACAAAGTAGATTCTCATTAAACAGTTAGTACATATATTGTTTTATGCCATTGGTTAACAACCCCACGACATGTCAACACTCTCCCTTCTGGACCTTGGGTCCCCGATTACCAGCTTTCCTGTCCCCTCCTGGCTTCTAGTCCTTGCCCCTGGGCTGGTGTGCTCCTTCAGTCTCCTTTTGTTTTATGGACTGAGACATGGATTTTTAACATATAATTTAAAAGAAGTTTTACAATGTTAATGCTATTCTGTTCTACTGCTTAGTACATTGTATAGTGCCTGGCGTCTTAAAAGCTTGCAAGTGGCCATCCAAGTTACAACAGTTGGTCTCTGTTTGCCTGGAATAACAGAGGAAGGAGAGTCAGGAATAGAAGGAAGAAATGGAATATGTGGCTAATTGCCTCCATGAACAACCGCCTCCCTTTCCATGAGACCAGAGGAAGTGGATAGTGCTTAGCTATCATTATTTAACATTTCGATCACAGATTCTATAGAAAAACCCTGATCAAAACGGGAAAATTCAAAACAGAATTTAAAATTCTGATGGAATCTAGACTTTCTGGAGCCACTGAGGCTGGATGAACCCTTGAAAGTATTGCCTTGAGATAATCTTTAAAACTTACACCAAAAATACCCTCTAAAGTCTTCTTTAAACCAAACAGTAGGTTAGCTTAACTAGTAAAGAATGGCTGCCTTGAGCATTGTGCTCTTTTAAGATCTCTATGGGAACAAATTGACAACAGTAACTTGAAAGATTAGATAGGGAACGTAGTGGCCAATGAATTTATACTAATGGAGAGGAACAATTCAGAAAAGGAGGGTGAAAATGATTGCATGGCTTGAAGAATGTAATCAATGTCACTGAACTGTACATGTAGAAATTGTTTAATTGACAAATGTTCTGCTGTGTATATTCTAAACAAAAACAACAACAAATAAATAAATGAAACATCATTCTGTAGAGTCACATTATGGTATATATGCCTACTGCTGGCTTATTTTGGGAAAGCTAATTTTGATAGGGGTGATAGGGGTGGGAGGAGCATGGAGTCCTCATGGCATAATGGTTAAGAGCTAAGGCTGCTAATCAAAAGGTCAGCAGTTCAAATCCACCAGCTGATCCTTGGAAACTCTATGGGACAGTTCTGTAACCGGACCCTAGGAATGCCAGTGAATTTCCGTTAGTCCTTAAACCAGCCCAAGCTAGAGTTTGTCCACCCCCATGTGCAGAAGGGCCAGCTGTGACTGCTAATTGACTTCAACAGAAGATGCAGCAACAGGTAGAACGAATCAGAAGGAAAATCATTACCCAGACCCTATTCTGAGGCAAGAGGTCTGACAAGAACTATGTCACCTCCTGTTTCCTGGCCGCCTTCTGGAATTTTTTCTCCCTAGTATGCCTGTGCGGCCGCCATCTTGCTGCCCAAATCACATGTAAGCCCTGCCTCCCTGTAGCTTGGTGAGTAGGATCTAAGGAACTTCCTCCTTGCTCTGCTCATTGCAGTAAAGTTACTTTCTCTTTCTCAAAGACCAGTGTCCAGATAATTGGCAAGTCTGAGCGCTCCAGACAAACACCTACCTTCTAGCATTCAGCAACGGTTCTACTCTGACCTATAGGGTCGCTATGAGTTGGAATTGACTCGATGGCAAAGGGTTCGGGTTTTTTGGAAGGAGCATGGCAGGAGAACACTGGAGGAACTGTAAATGAGGGAGAGATCTTCCAGTTCTTGTATGCTACTACATGTTGTTGTTGTTAGTTGCCATGGAGTCAGCTTCAAATCATGGTGACCTCATGTACAACAGAACTAAAACATTGCCCAGTCTTGTGTCATGTTTACAATTGTTGGTATGCTGTGGTCCATCTTTGTGGCCACTGTGTATTTTGAGTGCCTTCCAACCCAGAGGGCTCATCTTCCAGCACCCAGAAACATTCTGTTGTGATCCATAAGGTTTTCATTGGTTAATTTTTTAAAGTAGGTCACCAGGTCTTTCTTCCTAGTCAGTTTTAAGCTGGAAGTTCCACTGAAACTCTTATACCATGGAGGATTCTGCTGGTATTTGAAACACCTGTAGCATAGCTTCCAACATCATAGCAAGATACAAGCCACCACAGTACAACAAATGGACAGACAAGTGATGGGCTACTATATGGGGAGGCATTATTATACCTAATCTATAGTTTGTAAAATGGAGGTTTTGAGAAGCTGAATGAGTTGACGGTTACTATACATAAATGGTAAATGGTAGAGTTAGGATCCCAACTCCGTCTGACATCAGAATCCATATTCTTAACCACTTCTAATATTTTGAGGTACCAGAGGCGTCAGCTTGATTTTATGCCATTTCTGCCTTCCTTCTCCACTCCGCACCCCAAACACATCACTGAATTCTTTGAGGTGAACAGGGTCACTATGCAAAACACAATCACACAGCTTATAAATAGGGGTCACTGAAAGAGAAGACAGTGTTGGAAAATGAGACAAAAAAAAAAAAGGTCACAATATTTAAGACAAAGTAGTTCAACCAGATCACTGAGATACCACTATGTAGCAGGATGCAGCATTTTTATTGTAAAAGTCCACAAGTTAGGCAAATCCTTTGTGAAAAGATTTTCAAATGCATACACAGGGAGAAGCTGATAATTAAGAGTTAAATTATATATATTAGATATTTGTATTGCCAATACTATGCACACATTGGAAAGCTAGCTTTTTAGAGTGTCCCTATTACAGAACACATTTTTAACTGACAATAGTAACATATTTCTCACCATTGAAATTTGCCAACAACTCACCCAAAAAGTCAACATTTAATATCTTGAAAATTAAAAACAAGAAAATAATTCATTCTACTTACATGTGTTTGAGGTTATATACTAGCGCACTGGTACGTTAAGGGTTTGTAAAATTGGCAGCCAAATGTGTTTCAAGATTCGTCCAGATGACTTGATGATGACTTCAATGGTTTCGTATTAACAAAACCACTTTTTTCTTTTCTATTATTTTCAGATTATAAAATCTATACTAGCTATGACTAAGTTCTGACCTAGAGCAATGATGGCCATAAAGAAGAACTGGCAAAGGTCAGTTTCTAAAGATAAAGATGCTGGATGAGTACATGAAGATGAGGCTCAACAGATCATGTTTGAAGTCTGGGACAATCACTTCATTTAATAACAGTGTGGTCTAATGAGGCCACAGTCATAGGCTAAATCTCCATGAAAGTCATTCATTTGTTCTTTCATTATTTTATTTAGTCCTTCAGTACATTTTTTTCTTCAAAAATTATCAAATACTACATTCTGAACACCAGTCAGGTATGAATCTTGCCGATGCCTGTCATATGTCCACAAGTAGAATTATGGATGAGTCAGGACAGACTCATCCACAGCCCTGGGAAAATGATACACACACAACTCTAATTATGCCCTAGTAGAGTCATTTCTAGCCCTGGTGGTGCAATGGTTAAGAGCCTGGCTGCTAACTGAAAGGTTGGTAGTTTGAACCAACCAACCACTCTGAAGGAGAAAAATGTGCCAATCTGCTTCCTTTAATATTTACAGCCTTGGAAACCCTATGGGGCAGTTCTACTCTGTCCTATAGGGTCACTATGAGTCAGAATTGACTCAGCGGGGATGGGGATAGAGTCATTTTTGTACATGAACTTAGGACATAAAGATTTATTTAAAAAGAAGTGTGTACTTTGCCTAAAATAAAATTTTGATGATGAACATAAATAGCCAACGTTCTTTGGATCCTTCTGGTTATTTCTGCAAGATTAAGTATCACTTGACAATGCCTACATGAAGAGATGAATCATTGGTTCCAAGTCAGAACAGAGAGATTCACCAGAGCATTTCAGGTGAATTCACTTTAGACCACATTTATTGAACACTGACTGTGTGCCAGGCACTATGCAAGGTGCTGAGGACCCAAAGAGAAAATCACAAGGATTCTGTCCACAAGGCACTCACATCACTAGAAGCATATCTTGATATGGAGAATATGTCTTATTATGATCTATCATTATAAAAGGATGAAAAAATAGCGGCAAGCATGTACAATTGTTTTATACTCTATTTATGAAAATGGGCATATTTAGAGGTGACAAATATTAATTATTCAGTCTATATTTTACTTAAAGCATTGTAATATGTCATACAAATTTTAAAAATAAGCTATTTGAATCCCCATGCATGAAGGAGAAGGCAGCAAAAATTCCTCCCTCCAATTCCAAATCCAAACCCTTATAATTACATTCATATTCTTTTATAGCCCAGAGACACAAAATAAAAGACAATACTTTATGATGATAACTTCAGTCCATTTATTTTGGCTCTAAAAAGATGCATGCATTAAACCTGAAGCATTCTAAGTTATTGAAATATTTACATCGTTGTACATGTGATATGAGGAAAATTTTCCTCCTATCTTGGGATAGAGATACAATAGATTTCTAGTCTAGGTTTTTATATTTAAAGGGAGTTATGATTCTTCATATATACAGGAAATATTCTATTGGGATCAAATTTACCACAACTTGACCTGACGTGAACATAGGATACATTTCCTGTGCCTTTCTCATTTAATTGTATTATGAATTGAGTTAGGATACCACCACCGTACATATTCATGGATTTCATTATTTTAATTTCTATACTTAAATATTATCTTGTTGGCTTCAATGTTCTTGCTCTAATTTCAGGTTGCTTTGCAGGTTTCATACACAGCGAACATTAAAGTTCAAAGTAAATTAACCAAAGGAGAGTTGGGCACAGACAATATGACATTAACACAATTTAGCAGTTAGGACAAAAAACAAAATTCATATCATTATAATCCATAGAGGAGATTATTTTAAGTGGACTTAGAATATCTTCTCTCCATGAGATTCAGTGAATAAGACCATATCAATATCCCCCCCTCCTCTTTACAGGTAAAGGTAGGACACCCAATAAACCAGATTGAACAAGCAGAAGGCAGTGGGGAAGAAGATCCGAGCATATGAGTCCATTTTGGCAATACGGATATGTATCCTTCCATGTCTCCAAGCCCCTGTTCGGCAGTCTTCAAAACAGCAGAAAAAACTGGCACAGTCCTTGCCATCCAGACACTCATACCCATATTCTTCGTCTCTCTCTTGAAGATGTGTGGCATTGTTCATTTGAATGGTTGCTGATCGTGGGCGGATATCAATGGTAGGGGCCTGAGACAAGGGTGGGGAAGGGGAGGGACAAGAGTTAGTAATACTTGATAGATCTTAGAATATTTGTCCACAATGTCACCAATGTGAATAATGGATCTGAAAATGGATACTTAGGAAACTGCTATGACATTGTGATCTACAATGGTGAAATTGAACTTAGAAAGAGAGCACATTTGCCAATTTCAAATTTTGAGCTTAAGCAGTGCAGCTGAAAATAATACCACCAAGCTAATAGCTATAGCAAGAAGATTGAACACCAAAAGAACTCAGGGTTTAAAGATTTAAATCAAACAACTACATGGCATTTTATTCTAGTAGCTATTAGATGTGAAGTTAGATACATGAAGGCATTTAATGGTGCTGCATGTGAGTGGAACAGAGAAATAAAAATGCGTCAATTTAGAAATCAACTTTCGTGTCATGCTTTCTTATACGCAAATGGTAAACTCCATTACATTGAGCAAATACACTGTTAATAGAAAATGTTAAAAAAAAGAAAAAAGAAAAAACTAACTACATATATATATATACATATATATATATATACCTGGAGGATTGCCAAGTTTATACCACAACAGTCTGATTTATGTTTTAAGGGAATATAGTATTTTACCTAACATTCACCATCTAGAAGTTTCAAAATGTCAGCAATGTTTACCTACATGTAAATGAAAATTCATAAAAGATATACTACTATCTAGCTGTCAATCTCTTTTTAACATCTGAGAAGAAACTAGTAGCAATTAAATGTATGCTAATCTAATCTTTGCCGCCAGACCAATTATGAAATTGCTATAAAATTAATTGATTTATTTAATGTTGCTTTGGGTGAGTAAGTTTTAGGTTAATATAAACACAAATCCTAGTGTCTCTGAAAAAGTCATCAGAATTCAACTGAAAATAGAAATGTCGTTGTCCAATAGGCCCAGTAATCACCTTAAAAGGAAAGGATGAGTGTTTTAATGTAAACCCTTTCAAAGAGAACATTGTTCTTACAGAATTGAAAAGCAGAGTTCATACCAAGAAATTATTAAATTTACTTATCAAAAAACAATCCCATTTTGAGTTAGGATTGACAGAGTTAAATTTTAGTTTTCAAAGGTCAGGTATATAGGCAGAGCCAGTGAAATTGGGTCCTATTTTCATCTGAAAAAAGAAGGTCAGTCTTGGCTTTGATATTTAAAGAGGACCTTTTTACTAATGACACCTCACAGGGCTTATAGTGTTTGAAATTCATGTAAGTCCAAAACATCTGTAAATTAGTGTGGTATTGGTGAATCAAGTATAGAAATCTGTAAAACTTCTATCCTTCATGTGTTATCTCTAGTACAATGCTTAAATGTCTATTCACAAAAAGAAATAAATAAATAAAACACCATGTAAGCGTTAATAGTTAAAGTCAGCAGTTGCATGCAGTGAATTTCCATTCCAAAACATTATACCTTGAATGAAAACATCCGAAGAAGCTTTGGGTTTGTAGACAGAAAAGAGAATAGCATTTTTTTTTTTTTAATAAAAAGAAGGGAAGAAATAAAAGAGAGAGAGAAAAAAAGAGAGACAAAATAAGATAAATTAAAAATACATTTTGAAAACATAGTGAGATGAACTGAAATTATAAACACAAAAGGACAGTACTGAGCTTGTAATAAAACATATATCTAAAGTTGCAAAATAGAATTTTGTGATTTCTAGTGAAATCCTCAAAAAATTAGTCCAGAATTACCTGATTGTAAAAGCTACTGTTGTCCAATCGTGAGGAAGCTTATTAGTGCCTGTTTATAGAAATACTATGATGGCATTTTCTAAAATTATCATCAAGGAAGCCTTAATACAGGCAAGTTTTGACACAATGAGCCAAAGGGCATATTAGCTGGAAAAATTAAATTTTAGCTTCTCTTTCAAAATTTAAGCTCTTGCTTGCTTTGATAAATTACCTAATTAGATTAAAGAAGGAAATGCATGTAATTCCCAGGTAATTTTATTTTTTCAGTTCCCTTAATCCCCTTCTCCTCTGCCTTCTCTTTGTCTTCTGCTATCTCCATGTCTCTAGATTAAGGGATCTAAGTGTTTCTATCTCTACAACGAGATTCACTCTTCAATGACATAACTGTTGAAGGGAGTCAAAGGGCTCTTTCCAAATAATTCTTCAGAGCTGATGTGAAAGCTAGTCCTCACCTCACATCCTTGTTCCTGTGAGCAGGTAGAATAATGCCTAGTGTGAATAGAACCATCTTCTCTGAGGAAAGTGAAAGCGAAAGAGGAGGAGGGGAACAAACAAGAAATAACATGACAAGGAAAGTAAAGAAAAGAATAGAGAAAATGGAAAGACAGAGAGAGGCAAAACAGACGAGGAAGGGAAGGACTGCATAAAGCATAACAAATATTTGAAAAATTAAAAGATAAGCATTAAAAAAATGAATCATTAAGATTGGTGCTTCTTTCTTTACCTGTTACAAAGCATAACATTTTTTTTAAAAAAAGGGCCACTTGTATAATTTCACTGGGGTTCCTGAAGATGCAACCTAGACTCAGCTAGACTCTCTTGGAGTAATTCAGCCCCCAATGTCCACAGTTCAGAGAGGTAGCCACTCTCATGGCCCTTACAGCAGAAGACCAGGAAAGGCCGTCAATCCAAGAGCATAGGGAAATTCCTTTTGCCCCGTCTTGGAAGGAAATGAACCTTAAATTTCCTGGGGGCTCCTGTGATCCAGACATTTTGTTCTGATAGATAAATGGGTAGCTATGTGCTCTCAACATCGACAGTAAAAGACAACTACTTTATACATTTAGTCTCTGTTAAAAGTTTGGTGGCAAGCTGAAGTCATCTTACCTGTTTCCAAATCATGCAGACACTGAAATTAATCCAGACTGAGAAATGTAGAAATCATGAACATCAACCATCATCATCAGCTACTAATAGTGAGAACTTTCATGTGCCAGGTACTCCACAATGCTTTTTACCTCCATTAACACATTGATTTCTCACAGCGGTCCCGTAAGTTAAGTATTTTTATAACCATTTGATACATGAGAAAACTAAGGCACCGGGAGGTTAAGTAAGTTGCCCAAACAACAGGCGAGCCATGTGTCTTAAAAACAAATCAGATAAACTTGGAGTATGAAATCAATAGAAGTCTTTTGGTGGAATCACACACATACACACACACAACAACAACACACACACATTAAATTATTTGCAAAAGTGTGGTCATGCTTGAAAGTTCAAGAACCTTTGTCTTCCTATTGAAATATCTTGGATGAAAAGTTTAATTTAAAACATCAGTAATTTTAAAACATTATATTAAGGGTACCAGGAAGATGAAAATCAATGAAACCTAGTCTAATAGCATCTAGGAAATGGATGCATTTCCCAGCAGTGGTTACAATCCCCATGCAATGGGGAGAGCAGGTAATTGCATTTGCTTCACTTTTATAACTCACAGGACACATCGATTGGGAGAATCTGCCTTAGAGAATCAGTTCTCTCCATAATGGAATCTTATGGCCAAACTCACACTTTCTATTTTTATCTTGATGCCCAAAGTGCTGAAGCTTACCCTACAGATAGGCTAACAAAAATCAAAGCCAAACAAAGCCAGGTATTCTTTCTACATCAGATCATCAGTGGCCTCAAAGGGAAATACTACATACAGGGTTTTTCTTCTTTTTGTCTTTGTCCTTGCTTGGTTTCCGGTTGCTGACAAAATAATGCAGGGTGCCATACTCCACCAAAGCAGAGAAGACAAAGATGAAGCAAACAGATACAAAGAGATCCATCGCTGTGACATAGGAGACCTTGGGGAGCGATTTCCGGGCAATGGTGCTGAGGGTGGTCATTGTCAAGACAGTAGTGATACCTAAACAGAAGGAAATAGAGCAGAGCATGTGAGTACATCAGCAAGTCAGGCAACTCGTCACTATTGAAACGGAGCTCTGTTTGCAATTTTTGATAGCAGCTTCGGTACAGGGAAAGGAGGTGTTATGGACTGAATTGTGTCCCCCAAAAATACGTGTTATAAATCCTAACTCCTTGTAACTATGGATGTAATCCCATTTTGGATTAGAGTTTTATTTGTTATGTTAATAAGGACATATCTTTGTAGGGTGTGTTTAAAGCTAATCACTTTTGAAATACAACAAGAGCAGATCAGGTACAAAAGCAAGCAAGACAATACAGATGGAGGAAGATAGATGTCACACCACATGAAGATCGCCAAGGAACTGAAGAGTAAAAGCTAAAAAGAAAAGAATTCACTTAGAATTGAGAAAGAAAGCTTTATTTTAGAACTGCTGCTCTGAATTCAGACTTTTAACCTCTTAAACTATGGAGAAAATAAATTTCTGTTCATTATAGCCATCTACTTGTGGTATTTCTGCTATAGTAACACTAGAAAACTAAGACAGGAGGAATAAGTGGAATTCAGTCACTCCTGTCTACTATGTACCAGCCAGGGAGACAGGTACTGGATACATACTGTAACTAAAATGCACATTGTCCCTGCCCTCAAGGAGCTTATATTTTAGTGGGAGAGGTGCACTATGAATCAAGTATACAAAAAGTATAATTACAAATGTTAGTATGTGGCAGGGAGAATAGCGGGGATGATGAGAATCCTAGAATCTAGGAAGGCTTCCTTGAGGATGTTTATGTTTAAGGTAAAGTTTAAAATATAAGAAGAAAACAGTTGTTTTACTATTAACACAGGAAAGAATTGAAAGGAGGATTCTGAGGAAGGGAATCCTGAACCCCTGTTTATTCTGTGAATTGTTACAATACCTGACATCTGGGGAGGGGCAGGAGGATTGAGGTGATGTTGGTGAAATAGAAATTATATAATGCAGCACATTAAAAGGGTTTGTATTCTTTTCAAAGTGCAAGGAGAAATCATTCAAAGGTGCTAAACAGAGGAGGTGTGTGTGTGTGGGTGACATGGTCTAACTGATGAATTTTTTAGACCATTGTAGGATGAAAATTAGTATCTCAGAAGTAACATAATAACTAGTATTTCCTGAAAACTAAGCCCTTTAACAAAAAACAAACTCATTGCTGTCGAGTCGATTCCAATTTACAGCAACCCTACAGGGCACAGTAGAACTGCCCCATAGGGTGTCCAGGTCTGTAATCTTTACAGACACAGACTGCCACATCTTTCTCTGGCTCAGTGGCTGGTGGCTTCCAACTGCCAGCCTTTCGGTTAGCAGCCGAGTGCTTAGCCACTGCACTACCAGGGCTCCTGCTAAGCACTTTAGGTGCATTGTGTCTTTCAATCACCACAGCAGGTATTTTCACCTTGATCTCATAGACAGGAAAATGAGGCTAAATGATCAGCTCCACATTCAACAGTAAGTAAAGCAGCAGAAGGATTTGAGCACGGAAATTGACTATCTGATTCCAAAAAAACACCCTTATGTTACTCATTGTGCAATAGAAGTCAAGCAAACCAGCCCTCCACAATGATTGTTTAATGACAGGGAACAAAGCTAAGATAACCTATATGTATCAACCAGAGAACGAACCGTAGCTTTCCTTCTGTAAAAGCTGTGTTTCTTAGATTTAGTATGAGAATGAGTTCTAGCTCCTGCTGTACAGACTTAAGTCATCTTTATAGTCTGGGCCTCAATTTTCCCATCTGTCAGACCATATCGTAGCAGGCCTACCCATTTCTTATCCTTCTGTGATTCTAATTTGGCATTTCCTATCATGACTGGAAGCATCATTTTGTACTCCAGAAACCACAGGCCCTTACCATCTCCAGTTTAGTAACTTACATTTCTGATGTGTATGTGGGGGGTGGGGGGGTAGTTTCCACCCTCTAATACTGTGAAATGCTGATAACTGCTGACCAAGAGACTTCCAGGGAGCTATCAGCTTCCTTTGCCCCAAATGGAGATTCTGGGAAAACTTAGAACAATAGGAATCAGGCACAAGAGACTTGGGGAACAATGGGGGAAGGAGGCTACAAAGCAGAGCACCTGTGGATCTCTCTAAGTCGTATAGGGTTGCTATGACTTGAAATCAACTCCAAGGCATACGATAAGAAGAAGATATGAGTAACTGATATAGTATGTAAATATTAAAAAAAAATGCATATTTCTTCTGGATCTCTTAAGTCTTGATTCCTCAGAGTCGTTTTTGAGGGGTTTAGCTATGTTTCAGAGATCATGTGGCTCTCTTAGGTCACTTAATCTTAACAATATCATGTTTCTTAAGTGCATTTTGTGTTACTGAATTCCACACAAAAAGAAAAAAAGGGTTGGTTGAAATAATTTTAAATAAAAGAATAGACTTAAATGGAAGAGGGAGGTCATCGTGGGAACTATAGTTATAAAGGTTATAGCCTTTTCCTATACTCTTAATACAGAGTATGTAATAATCCATCTCCTTTTCTGGTCTCAATACTCCATGAGGGACAGACAAGTCATCTGTCTTCACCAGCGTATCCCTACAGTTGAGCAAACTGCTGTCACTCATTAAATGTTTGTTGAATGAATCAATGAATCAATGAATAGTGTATATATGAAACATAAAAAAGCCTCAACCTACATTTGAGAAGTGGAATGCATATTGACGACTGGTGGGAGATCTTTTTAATGCAAATAATAGTAGCTAACATTTATTGATTTCTTCCTTTGGTCAGGCTTTGTGCCAAGCACTTTATATATTATCCTCTCAATGGTCCTGTGAGGTAAGCATTGTTATTCTTTTTTTACAGGTGAGATAACTGGACACAGAAAGATTAAGAAACTTGGTAAATTAGCAAGTGGTAGAGATGTGATATGAACCTAGGCAGTCTGACTTCAAATGTTATGCTTTGAACCACATTGTTATATTCCTCTCTAAAAATAGATGAGGGCATTGGTAGTTCAGTGGTAGAATTCTCACCTTCCAGAAGATAGACACAGGTTTGATTCCCAGCCAATTTACCTCATACATAGTCACCAACTATCTGTCAGTGGAGGCTTACGTGTTGCTATGATGCTGAACAGGATTCAGCAGAACTTTCAGACTAAGATGAACTAGGAAGAAAGGCCTGGAGATCTACTTCCATAAATCAGTCAATGCAAACCCTACGGATCACAATGTTCTGATCCCAAACCAGTCATGGGGATGATGCAGGACCAGGTGGTGTTTTGTTTCATTTAGTTGTGCATGGAGTCGACAGGAGTTGGGAGCTTACTTCAAGGCAGCTAACAAGAAGAAGAAGAATAGGTACATTAAAAATGTAGCATGAAATGTTAGGCAGTGGGAAGTTATTACAGACTCCTGACTAGGGATGTGATGTGAGTCTGAGTTATATAGTCATGGTAGAACCTTAGGAAGGTTTAAGTTTTTCACCCACAAATGGAGGTGAGTAGAGAGGGAAAAACAAACAAACTCATGGGCTCTTACAAAGATTAAATTAAATAACATGCATAAAGTTAAAGTCTCAATAAATGCAAAGTATTATTATCACTTATTTCAGAGAAGAAAGGTCTGCTTCTCCAACAAAAATGCTTCTCTTAGCTTGTCTATGCATTAATTCGTGTAGGAGTTCTTGGTTATACCTAATTACAGCTGATATTTTTGCGGAGAAATTAAACACTCAATCGGCACCTTGAACTTCATTTCAGATTCAGGCCTCAAGCCACACTTGGCCTATGAGACGTGAAAATATGACTATATACCAGAGATGAGTTCACTTAAAAAAATTAGTATGTGATAGTTTAGGGGAAACAAATTCTGACACGTAAGTCAAACATTGATCTAGCAAACTGCGAAGATGTTATTTAAGCTACATGGAAGTTCATCATAAACATGTAAAAGCGGAATGTGGAAGAATTGCTTCAAGATATTCTCAAGGTTCTGACCTGAGAGAGAACTGCTATGACATCAACAATAAGGACAAGAGAAGTGGTGGTTTTAACTCATTGATCAGCCAGCAACAAGACAGCCGATGTGGTTTTTAAGTTCAGTTTTGCTAAGCAAAGAAATGAGACTTCTCTTACCTGAGGTAGATGAAAAATAACCATTGCTTTCATCAATTTCCCAAATCTTGGCATGAGGGACGTTAACTCACCTCAAATTACTTGGGTGAAAAATACCAATATATATTTTCATCTTTCCATTCATCATCATTACACCATGATTGAACCTCATCAGCTACTACCTGACCTGTGTACCAAACTACATTCAGGTGTTATAAGCAACAAGCATACTCTTTCCCATGTCCTGGTGGTCTGTGCTCAGAACACAGCCAGAGCACCCAGCCATGCAGTATATTTATCTCACTCATCAAACAACATGTCTCTAACTGTGTTCTATGGCTATAAGCTTAAAGACTGCAGGTGTTTAAGGTCATCAGGTTTAACTCTTGATTCTAAACATTGAAAAAGGTAATGGGGCTCAGTAAAATCTAGGGCAATATTCTACAGCGTGACTGCACATTGGAATCACTTTGGGAAATTTAAATAAAAATCCTAACACCTAGGCCATGCCTGAGACAAATTAAGAATCTCTGGTGGTTGGACTAAATTATCTGTATTTTTTACGATGGCACGGTGGTTAAGCACTCAGCTGCTAACCTAAAGGTTGATGGTTCAAACTTACCAGCAGCGCCATGGGAGAAAAATGTGGCAGTCTGCTTCCATAATGATTACAGCCTTGGAAGCTCTATGGGGCAGTTCATCTCTGTCCTATAGGGTCGTTACGAGTTGGAACTGACTCGATGGCAACAGTTGTTTTTTTTTTTTTTAGTAGTGATTTAAATGTGTAGCTAAGTTTGAGAAGAACTGATATAAAGAAGTCAACGATGCAGCACAGATAGAGGAACTGGCTCAGGCCCACTCCCCACCTTACCCCACAAATGGCCTCATACCC